TGTTTAACATTAAATAAGTTAATAATAATAATAGTTATTATTATTATTATTTATTTCTATAGCGCATTTTCCTAACGCCCAAATGCGCTTTACAGTGTCAAATTATCATAACCTTTAATTAAAAATTTGACGAAAAAGATAGGTCTTAAGCTTAGCTTTAAAAATAGAGACCAATGCGCTTCTTTTAATCTCAAATGGAACCGAGTTCCAAAGGTAAGGCGCGCACACTGAGAAAGCCCTCAGGCCAGTCAATTTGAGCTTGTGTTTTGGTTGCTCCAGTAGAAGTTGGTCAGCAGACCTGAGAGCTCGCCTAGGAACATAAGGACTGATGAGCTCAGTCAAGTACGTTGGAGCCGCACCATGGAGTGCCTTGAAGGTGTACAGTAAAATATTAAAAACAATACGCTGATGGACGGCGAGCCAGTGCAGCTCAATAAGTAGTGGCGTGACATGATCAAACTTTTGCTTGCAAGTGATCACTTTTGCCGCTGCGTTCATAACATATTGTAGTCTCTGAATAAGATAACCAGGTAGGCCATAAAGAAACGAATTACAATGATCTAAGCGAGACATTACTAATACATGCACTAGTGTTTCGGTTGACTCAATACTAAGGCATGGACGTATGCGACTAATGTTTCTGATTTGATGAAAAGCAGTCTTGCATAGATCATTGACGTGTTCCTCGAAACTCATGGTATCGTCGAAGATGGCATCAATGTTCCGTGCGCTGATGTGGGCTCGATAGTAGCATCACCCACAGTAATCGAATCTAATGGTGGCTTAGGGCGATGTTTAGCATGCAGAACCAGGAGCTCAGTCTTGTCGTTGTTTAACCGGAGATTATTTAAAACCATCCATTGGTTCAGCTCATGCAAACAAACTTCAACCCTAGTGCGCGCAGACACAACATCCTCCATTTTAGTGGTCTTCATGCTAAGGTACAGTTGAGTGTCGTCCGTGTACATATGAAACCCGACACCATGGCGACGCAGGATAGCTCCGAGAGGAGAGGTATAGACCAAATATAGGATTGGGCCCAACACAGACCCCTGGGGAAGACCGCAGGTCAGTTGACGATCAGAAGAACTAGTATCTGATTTGGACGAACTGTGAACGACTGGACAGGTAAGACTCAAACCAAGTGTAGGCAGAGCCCTGAACACCAATGCACTGGGAGAGAAGCGATAGTAGGATGCCATGATCCACTGTGTCGAACGCTGCTGACAGGTCCAACAGTACCAACATCACACACTTTCCATCATCCAGTGCACGTGGCATATCGTTATGCACTCGCAACAGTGCTGATTCAGTGCTATGGCCCACTTTATAAGCGGATTGGAAAATCTCTTCAAGTTTATTTTCTCGCAGATGGGAAATGAATTGACTCGCGACTACCTTCTCGCACTTGGAGAGAAACATCAGGTTGGAAATGGGTCTGTGATTCTTATATAGTTGATAGTCAAGTGATGGTTTCTTAAGAGAGGGCCTGACAAGGGCTTTTTTCATGTCTGAAGTCAGCGTGGAGTTCTGCAAAGAACATTTCCCAACATTCGTAATAAACGGAAGAAGCAGATCATAGCAGTTTTTGAGGACTGACGCGGGTATCGGATCTAGCATGCAGGACTTCAAAGTCGATCTAGGAACCAGGTCAGACAGTTTATCACATGATACTGACTTGAAGTGATTAAACCCAGGGCCACTGTACAGCAGTTCAACTTCGGCGTGGTTTGTGGTACCCCTTTTTTCCTGTAACTCTTCACGTATTGTGGTGATCTTTCAATAAAATAATCAGCAAACGCATTTGCTAGGGACTCATCATCCATAGAATCAGGTAGTTTAGGTTCACTTTTACGATGAAGAAGCTTGTCAAAAATAGAGAATAAGCGTTTGGGATCATATTGGCTCTCATCAATAATCCTCGAATAATAGGCCGTCTTTACCTGCAAAATAAATTCATTTACCATCTGACACTGGTCAACGAAACGCTCGCGATCGACCATAAGTCCAGTCCTTCGCCAACGTCGTTCCAGTGCCCTTCTTTTTTGTTTCTCCTCACGGATGTCTTCAGTGTACCAAGGTGCTGAAGGGCGAATCGTAATATTGCGCGTTATCAGGGGTGCGTGCTTTTCGAGCAGGCCAATCAGCGAAGTATTGTAAAGCGTTAACATAGACTCTAGATCATGACCGGCTTCATCGACTGTGCTAATTAGAGGTGAATCAGAGATGTTGTCTCTTAACTCTTGGGGATCAATTGACTTCAGTTTTCGATAATTGACTTCTTTACACTGGAACGCTTTTTTAGGTAGTGCCAGAGAACAGCTGGTAACGTAATGGTCAGAAATGACAGGATCGAAAACATCAAAGTCCCGAGCTGTACTCTCATTATTTCTGGTGATGACTAGATCTAGGGTGTTACCACTCCTGTAGGCGGGAACCTAGACATGTTGCTTCAAGTTAAATGCTTCAAGTAGACAGAGAAACCGTTGTGCAGATCGATCACTAGCGTCATTTACGTGCAAATTGAAGTCACCGACTATCAACAGAGAGCCATGTACAATAGCTAGAGACTCCAAGAAACTAGGAAATTCTTCAAAGAATTTCGCAGCCGATGAGGTACCGTCTGCCATTGTTTGTGGCCTATAAACAATAATAAGGCGCAAGCATAACGAGGAATGTTTCAATAAGACATCCGTAAATTCAAAGGATTTGAAATTGGTAACAATGCCGGGATGCTTCTCGAGGCGAACCACGGTCTTATGCATGACACCGATTCCGCCCCCAACGCGAGAAACCCTTGGAACATTGTAGAATTCATAGCCGGTCGGACACAAGTCACGTATAATTAATTCATCAGTTTCTTTGGCAAGCCAAGTCTCAGTTACAGAAAAGACATCGATATTACGGTCCACGGTAAGATCTTTCAGAGAGAGTGTCTTATTCCTCACCGATCGTGGATTAAGGAGAGAAAATCGCATGGATTTTGATGTTGGTAGTGCAGGTTTCATAGGTTTCATTAATATGAAATAAAGTTATTAATATTGGTCGGACCCTCTTTATGGAAACCCTTACTTATGTGAACTAAAGATTGAATCAATTGCCATTGCCTAACAGTGTCAGGACTTAGTTGACTTAATAAATTATACTCAATTAATTTGGAAAACCTAAACGGCGTTCATAGCATATAATAAATTAGCTCGTTCCATTCTATTGGATATTGGATAACCCTACAAAAGAAAACGCGTTTGAAATGACAAAGAATATAGGCTTTATATGTTCTCATAGCAGTATTACTATCAATGAAATTGCGAATTTTCCTAAGAGCATTAGCCTTTGAAAAAAGGGGAGTAATAATCAAAATGAGGAAAAATATAGGCTTTGTATATTCTCACAGCAGTATTACCATAAATGAAATTGCCAATTTTCCTGAGGGCAACAGCCTTTGCATAAATTTTTCTAAGAGTATTCTTAATGAGTAGCATATGATAATTTACAGGCAATAGTGACACCAACTAGCTTCAGCATGTCCTTTATTTCAATGGAACTGTCATCCAATGAAAGAGATAGGTTATGATGAGAGAACCCCAATACCATAGCTTGAGTCTTGGATTTGTTAACCTCCAAATAATTGTCATTAAGCCATTTGGAGAATAATGGTAGATCTTCACTAATATGAAGCTGTAGGGTGATAGGGCAGTTATTTGAGTAGTAGCCAGAGGTATTGTCTACGTAGAGTCTTACTGTAAGTGCATATTTCTGGCAACCAATGTGATCAAATTGATGTAGATATTTGATAGCAGTGGCCGAAAAGGAGAGCCCTAAGAAACTCTATATTGTACATCTACTGTACGCCACTCAAAGAAAGCATTTTCCACTTTGCCGCGCTAACGTTGATTGCCTAGGTAGGAATCTATCAGCCTTAAGGATGTAGGAATGATGCCATATCCTTTGAGTGTTCTCTTCACGAGGCTGTGACAGATGGTATCAAAAGCCTTGCTAAGATCAATTGAAACAAAAACCATATGTTTGCCATCCAAGGCTGTTCTCCAGTCTTCAGTTATCTTAAATAATGCTGAACAAGTGGAAAGTTTTATCAAAAAGTCAGATAGGCCTTCTTAAAATAATTTTGGCCCAAAGTAACTGTGTAATTTATTTTACATAACCCTTTCAAAGATCTTTTAAATGTCAGGTGGGATGGATAATTGTTTTTGTGAGATTCACGGTTTTTTATCCACTGGGGTGATGTTACTTTCCTTCCACTTGTCAATCCAGTTGGATTGTTGGACACAATAGTTAATCAGAAGACCAGCCAGAATTGGAGAAGATGCTTTTAACATTCTTGATGGAATACTATCTTTGCCCACATCTTTGGAACTATTTAGATCTATTAACAACTCCATAGTGTACTTGGTAGATACTGTTGCAAAGCTTAAATTGCCTTTATCTTATGGAAAACAGTATTCATAGATATGTGGGATGCGACAGGTTTTCTGTTTTGCATGTGAATACAAATCTTCTGCAACACTACCTTCTAACGTCATTATATAGGAATGCCGGTCGTTTCTAGTTCTTTTCAATGTTATCAATATTGTATTATATCAGTAGCCACATAAAGTGTTAGACTGCCTATTCTTATCATCATTATCAAGGAACTATTGCAACTCATTTTGATAGTGTGACACACATGTAAATCTTTTTCATTATTTACGTGGTTACACCCTTTGGCTGTCTTTCAAACACGTTGTCTTCTCTATTTTTTTTTATTTCTACTGGTCCAATTTAGCTATATACAGATGGGGAGAATTTTCTACCGCTCCTCTTTACTGTTTTATCGTGCCATGGCTTTCTCATTGAAATGCTTGCTATGCATCCTTTTAACACAATAAAGAACTGGATATCCTACTTGCTAAATTTGTTTTCTTCATGTAAATATGATTTCTCTGCAAAAGATAGTTGCAAGATTATATCTGGATTTTTTAATCTTCATTTTATCTTTTTAGGTATTAAACCTGTTAAATGGGATTCTTGATCAACTTATTAGAGACAAAATCCTGAGGACAAGGTATTGCAGGTTGCTTTTAAGTGTAATTTTGAACTTTTATCTTTTTTTCCAGCTTGTTCAGTGAGTGTTCAGGTTTTTATAATTTAGCTGAGTAAACTTATGTTGTGTGGACACATATTGGTTCAAGTTGAAACTTGTGGTATTTGTTTAGCATCAATGCCTTTGCATCAACTTTCAAATGTTATGTCTTAATTGTGCACTGAATGTCAAACCCTCTAGAATACTTTGTCATCTTTTTTATGCCTCTACCTAGTGGAACAAAGAATTTGATCAGTTTTTTTCTGTTTGGTTTACCTTGTTCCTTCCTGATGGAGAAATTGAGTCTTTATTTCAATCAATTGACAGTATGATTTCTTTTAGTTGAAATAAACATCCCATGATTTAAATCCGGTATTACTGCACCCTCTGTACATGCAGCAGACAAGTCAAGCTATGAAAGGAATAAATTTGATTTAGAAAGGGATTATGTTTAAAGTGATAGAATGGTCCTAAAGACTGTGGACTAATCTTAATAGGTTGACTGCATAAGATAGACATAGTCACTGCAGTCATTCCAAATTGAGGCTTTACGAGGAGTGAGCCCATGCCCCCTAAAAAGAATCTGACCCCGCACAGTATTATGAAATAAATCACCTTTGAACTTTGGATAAGACAACAAGTCAAAATGATTGCTTCGATTGCATAAGCTATTAATTTCTCCATATTCACGTAAATTCCTCCTTCCCTGTTAGACTTGAACTAAAAAGCAACTCGTGCGAATAGAATTGGAGAATGAGGGTATGTTGCTCACATAAATGGATGATTTGGGGAAGAAAGAGATGTAAGAGTACCCCTACCCCCTCCCGCTCATATTCAAGAATTTACTCTTGCATATAGAGCAAGCCTGTGTTTTTTGTGTGACATGTTCTAGGTGTTTTAAAGTAGTAATGCATCGGTAACAGTTGGGATTTCCAGTTGGTTTGCAGTTTGCATACTTTTTGGGAAGGTTTACAGGGACTTCAATGCCATCTTTGGGGTACAAAGACCACACACTTTATCCAGGAGACACTAGAACAAAACAGGATAGAATCGCTAGAGCTATCCAATAAATGATAATTCAGTTAATTAAAATGCCTCTGATCATTCGAGTTAAGAAACCGGCTGCAAAAGGTCTAGTTTTTCAAGATAGAATGCTGAGATATATTTACCTCGGAAGCATAGAATAAAAAGTAACTGTAGTTATTAGGCCCCGAAAGGTCCGTTTTTCTGTTCCTTATTATATTTTTATTTACCTGAAGGAATGGCTCATCTTTTGTTGCTGCATTATTGAACAATTGGACCAGTTTTGAAATCTTTTGGAAGACACTCTCTGCTATGGACCTCAGGCATTCCATCCTGATGATTCTGAAAAAGATGTTAATTCTAGATTCAGCGGTTGGTACAGCTCTTCTTTTAATTATGCACATTTATGGATTCTCCAGATAGGAAATAGAGTCTACACTTTTCCCTACAGTTTTTGCCTACATACAGTGACCTCTTTCAAATTTCTCTTTTGGGCTTCCAATGTTTGCTCTACTCACAAAGGGACCAGTCAATATTTTTTTCTTGACATCTGACTGTTTTGAGTATAGGTCACGGTTTGTTGAAATATTTCCCATTCAGTGCTCTATTCAGATTTCTGTAGATCATTGTACGAATGTATGTCTCAACTATGCGTTCCGCTTAGTTTTTCATGGTAACAAGTTTATCGTTCTTTTTTCTGAAAAAAAGGGCAGCTAGTTCGTGAGCATATAAAGGACCTCTTGTTGCATCGATTAGATCACCCCTGATGAAGGCACTAGACGGGAGTGTCGAAACGTTGGGTCTATGAATGTGACTTCTCGGTTACATTCATCAAATCTTTAAACCAGAGTAACATCAAACCATGTCTGAAGTTTATCGTACTTTCATGGTTTTGTTATGATTCAAATGGAGGTACCAGGTAGACGCCTCCGAAGAGCGAATTGATTGAAAAGAAACTTTATTGACAAATTTCAGACCCATAATTATTGTTTAGTCTAGAAAGGTCTTTCAACCTTCAAGAGGCCTCTATCCATTGAAACTAGCTATAGAACGCAGTTGAACTGTTTATACTATTTTATAGCCCTTTTCACACGAAACTCTGAGCCAGTGAAATCTAGGAGTCCTCTGGTATCTGAAAACAGATATGTCAGTTCATTTCAGTGAGAATACTGCTTAGCCAAGCCTGCCACCCTCCCAGTGAACAGCACTACTTCTTATGCCTCTGTGAGAATTGCTCTGGCCGCTGAACAGAATAGATCAGACCTATTTACAGAACTATGTCGTATGCATTTTTTTGTCGGGAAATCATATAACCTGTTGTACACGATCCTTTGGACTGCTAGCTCTTATCAATTTGGTTTCCGTCACTGTATTCTCAATCAAAATGTTACGTTAATGTTACAAATACTTTTTATAAGGAAAACTTCTCAAGGAACGTCAACAGATTTAAGTGACACCTTTGGCCACGACATCTTCGAGGAAACTAAATCGTTTGGTTTTAGCATTTTAGTTCTACCATGATTCAAATTTATCTCGCAACTTGTATGCACTTTTAATTTATTCTCAGATCCACAAGAAATCGTTTTTAGCTTCCCACAAGGATCCTTCCCTGATCCCTTACCTTTTATTATGTACATATGCTTCAATGTCCTTCCCCTCGTTACTAACTATTGCAGGATTGAAATCAACCTACGCTATGTTTAAAGCAAATAGAAATGTTGCACCACTAATAAAGTCTCTTCAATGGAAATTTCACTTTCATCTGACCCAGCTAAAAAATATTATGGTAAGTTCCAGCAGTAACAATAATGAATTTTTTTTTTTTTAAATAAAAAAACAGAAAGTTACAGACTGCAGCAGATCAACATTTCCTGGCCTGTTTGAGATGTACCTGTTGTATTTGAAAGATAAGTCTACAACTCCTGCATTCAAGGTTAGGAATCATACAAACGTGTTGCAAGTATCACATTTTCATCACATAATGCGATTTAAATTGCGCTTCTTAGGCTTATTTAACAAGGAAAAAGTTTACTGAAGTACTAGAGTTCCTTAGAAGTACTTTACCGATTGGATCCACAGAGTTTTAGCCTGATTATGATCTGTGCGTCAGCGTTACGTTTTCATTACGAATTTTTTGTTTTCTGCCTTCAAGATCGCGAACGGTTACCAAAATTAGTTATTAATATTATAAAGGTTTTTGTTCTTGAGCTAAAACGCCACAATCGAAGGTGCTTACTAGCGGTAATTTGGCTTTGATTTTAATATTCTCTAACTTGATTCGGTGACATGTTCTTCAACCATGTGATGAAAGCATCGAGCATGGCAGATCAGTCTTGCTGTTGCGTTCTGTATAAGTTGAAGTTTTGGTAGCCAGCTTTTAGGCAGACCATACATGAGGCTGTTAAAAAAATCTAAACCACTGGTTACAAAAGGGTTAACCAAGGTCCGAGTTCAGTCAGGATTAAGAGGTTTTTTAATTTTTCTGATGTTGTGTAGGTGAAAAAGGATCAGCTGTGCCACTTTTTTACGATAATAAGGATGTTTAGTTCAGATTATTTCCTACAAAAATATTCTAACAACAGAAGTGAAAAGAGCTGATTGTGAGTTAACTTTTTGTTTTTGTTTTTTTTTTAATTCATTCCAGGGGCAGGTGCTAGAGCTCTTACCATACTTTACCAAGTCTACTGAAGAATATCTGAGAAGACTTAAGTAAGTGAACTCCAACATGCTAAGTGAACTAAATAATATGCAAAATCTCAGATCCGTAGTTGGATTAGCGGATATTTATTCACTGATAATGCAACTAGAAGGCTACTAAAAATCAGTTTATTTCCTTAATGTACATTTAGATTTCAACAGGATCTTGCGATGTACTTTTCTAACAGATGTGTATTAAACACATTATTTCAGACAGAATATGTGTTCTCAATAAACTGGCTGAATTGTACTGTTTTCTTTTTTTTAGTCTGTTTTAGTTAGTACCATGGTTATTTGTATTTGTCGTCCTATCTGTATAATTGAATTTTGTTAATAGATATATGATACAGAATGAAATAGTGACTCATTCCCTCTTTAAAAAATTATTGCAGGATCATAAAATTTTTGTGTATACTGAAAGGTGGCGCACTATTCCTCGTTTTGCTATATAGGGGTGCCACCATTGTGTCGCTTTAAATTTTTGTGTTTTTGTTTTTATTTTACTTTGATCTATATATTATCTACTAAATTTAGTAAGACAGTTTTGAAGGAAACGTCTCTCAAAGGTCTCTCACTCTCCTTTCCATATTTTCTCAGGGAAGGGCTGAACACTTTTGTTACCAACAGTATTCCACTGAAGTCAACAGAGTTCGTAAAAGGAGGTCCCCAATATAATGATTACATACAGACAATAGATAAGGTACATCTGAATAACAAATAATACTTTTAGCAGGGGTATTGCACGTCATTTACTCAGTGTTCACTCATGGTAGCTCGTGGCAACCTTTCTTAAGAAAGTTCGAACATAGCGCGATTGATCTTGTTTGAATGATGCGTTTCGCAAAGCAAGATACTCATGTTATGAATTACCAACGGCTCCAGATTTTCAATATAACACATGTAGTGAGTTTTCCTTCTGCAACGGCTTCGCTGGTAGACACCATCTTTTTTAGTCAGGGTATCAGTATGTGCGATAAGAGCCTGAGTGTTCTCAGACTCGAAGGCGTTCGATCTAGGCAGCGGTGAAGTTGTTCGGAAATAACTTTGAAATGTGCGAGTATCTGCTGTACCTCTACAATATCTCACCTTGAATTCCAGGAAGCTATGCTCATAATAATTCTTTCCCTTTGCATTATTTTCTGGTCTTTTTTTTGTTTTGCTATCGATTTGTTAATGTGATTACAGTGAACTATGAATGCCCCTTAGGGGTGTCATAAATTCAAAGAGTTTTTAAAATCTATTTTTAGCGCATGGGAGACACGCGAATTACGAATTAGGATGTTTTGTGATTATTAAAAAAAAACCTCTTCATCTACTGCTTTTTCATCTAAGTCTCTTACGATGAATATGACTGAAGATTACTTTCACTTTATCCTAAGCTTCTTGCAGCATTTGTAGATTCCCGAAGCCTGATTCTGCTTGAGGTATTGATCTCTATTTTATGCCGTGAACGACAGCATGTTCACGAAGATCAAATTCAGAAGTCCTTTACAGCTTTCATTAAAAGGCGAGTACTTCTTTTTTATTAATAACCGTTAGCATATTCTGTACACTTTATCGTAAACCTCAAAACCAGTTATAGTATTATCAAAAAAGAAGAAAATGAAGCAATGCACTTAATGATTTAAGTTATTTACCCACATGAACAGTACACGAGTACAGGTAAACCTATACTAAGCCAACATCGGTATGAATTGATCAAAACCTGCAAAAAGACTCTGACGAACAATATTTAGGTCGCATGATTTGTGCGTGTAGTCCTTCGTTAACGTTATGGCAACTATCACATTCAAGTGCAAAAGTATTGAACTCAGATATTTTCCTGAGCTATTTCTCATCAACAACCTCAGTACCTCTATTTTGCTTGCCACCATGGACCAGATAATTACTGAATAACTGAGCATTTCCACCTCTTAAAACAACATTATTGTTGAAGTGAGTGGAGGAAATATGAAAATTTCAAATTTCTGCAAATGGTGAGGAAGTTCTGTCACAGACGGTAGAGCAAGACATTTAAGTTTCCTTTTGGTTTGATACAATTGCTTACTTGCTTACATACTTACATGCAATGACACAAGGCAATAACAGAAATATGGATACTGTTAAGATTGTAGAGAGGTTTCCATTTGACAGCGATGTGCGCAAAGGACATTTTTGGTGAATATTTTAACTTAACTTTATTTGGCTTAGTATAGGTTTAACTTTACTTGATGTACGATGATCCCATCCATTTCAAAAGGCTTCGCCACATCTGTTTTGGATTTCTTGAAACACCTTCACCTTTGTTATCTGTTAGATTGCATCCTGCACCTGATCAAGCTAAAGCAGCTATGGATGCATGCCTTTCCATATTTTTTAATGAACGAGACTATCAAACACAGTCTCGTCGAGCTGTGATTGAAAGGATCTGCATTACATTCCTTCTTAAAACATCGGCAACCGCAAGGAAAGCATTCTATCAAGATCAGATTACGAAATTGATGTCTGTGTTAGAGGCCAAGGAACTTAAGGTAAACTATCTTAGTTTTTAGAAGAGCGAGTTTTGCAGTCAAAAAAATTATATTACTCTTGTAGCTTTAATGCAATCCACTCAGTTTTTACATTTTATAGGTGTTCTTATTAGACAAAAATTAAACAATTGTTTATTTATGAGACAACAAGAATATAAAAATGTCATTTATTTACTACTAAAACAAAAATGAATTTATACCTTTTTTTCAAGAATAAGTTTCAACATTGACGTGGGATATTTTTGCGATAATTAGCTTACCCTCTCCGAATTCAGCAGTCACAAAAGGCTGGTAAAACTCATTGCTCCAACTGCTGGAATACAAACAAAAAGTGCAAATCACAGCGCACTAAGGTCAAAGATCAACATTTGAGGACATGCATAAAAAAGGCACAGCTGTCAGAGTTCAAACGCCCCTTTAATTCATTCCCTGTCCACACACAGCCATCCCTGGTTCAAGAAAAACTTTTTTTTTCCATTTTACTTTTAAGCAAGTAGGTACTATTAGACAGAGCGAAGGTCCTTAAAATATTTGATTTACAACTGAAATTATGATATCTTAAAAACTTCCACTACAAACTATTTTAAGGCGACCTAATAGTTCAAAGAGGAGTCGCATCATTAAACAGATACTTAAAAATCTAAGAGCGATTCTTTTTCATCTTCAACGGCAACCTTGACAAGTATCCGACACATACGTCCCCAATAATACATTAAGGATCAGCAAAACTAAGACGTCAATTTAGTGCTGAGGCTTCTCCTTAAACTGCCATTCATTTTACAAAGTTCATTTTGATGTTGACCTAAATGCAGACAAACATGTGTTGAGTAAGATGCACTTTCGTTAAGTACGAGATGAACTGTAGACATGCTGGTGTATGACCTAACTTTGCGTGAAAACTTAGTGGGGTTAAGCTTGAAATTAAGTTGATGTGTTTATTGTATATGCAGCCAACAGACCCAAACTTCGAATCTCAAGTGACATCCAAATTGTGCTGTTTTAAGCTGGTAGAGATACTGTATTCTCAGTTTTCTAAATCTGAGCTGAACACATTAGAGTCCACAATAAACAAAGCATATGTCGGGGGAGACGTCAAAACAGGAAAAGAATTAACATTGGCCGTTACAAAGTAAGTCTGGACGCACTAGTACATAGAATCCAATTTTATGATGGAAGTAAAAGTTGCAAATCTTTTGTGGAGATATGGTATGAAAGCGAGCTTTAGGTGACTCAAGAAAACAATTTTTTAATATTCAAGACATCTTCACTCCATCAGCTTCTGCTACATTTACAGAACCTGAAAGGACAGCTTTAGAGTTGTTCTTGAAGGAAGCATTTACTTTTTGTAAGATGATATAGTAAGAAAGAAGGTACTTTCTTAGCTCAGCTATAGAATAAAGAAAGCTGGTGTTCGTTTCGTCACGAAAGTGAGACAAAAGAAAATCGGAGTGCCCGTGGAGAATTTGCAAGTTCAGAGGTTGATTCCTTGTAAGGGACTCAGATTTTTTCTTCCTCTCTCGTTTGTACCAAAACAAACAACACCTTGCTTCACCTAAGGCGGAGACCCAGAGGCATATTGGGTGGCGTGTTGGAGGTCGGTTCAAGAGGTCTGGACTCCAGACCGCTTAGGTTGCTCTATTGTTGAGCAAGACACTTTCCTCTCACAGCTGGGACCAGCTCCGGCCAGATGAGCAGCCTGGCTTGATTCTCCATCGTACCATTTAACTTATTTAACTTAGCTGGTTTTAGCAGATTGATGAAATAATTTTCAAACGCATGACAACAATAAAATTGTCCTTAATTTCAGCTATCTCCTCTTATCCTCATCCTTTCACTTGAGTTGAGACATTTTTCATGGTAAAGTTACCAGAGTTAGGATCATATGAAATATCTTAATCTCACTGCTTTACTAACGTACAGGTGTGAAACTTTCTCTCCAGAGCAGCTCGTGCGGCTTCGATAGAGGACATGCGTGGTGAGACTGTTGCCCTTGAACTACGGAGACAATTACATTGTGCGGCTTATAATACCTTGGTTTCTCTTATATGCTGTACACAAACAGACCTGAAGTTTTATGTTGCATTTCTTTTCTCTGAAAATCCAGTCAAGGTGGGTAGCTGCTTATTTAAATTTTTATAGCAACAATAGCTGAAGCTTGTGCTGGCTAAGTTTCTTTTTACATGTATTTGTATACGTCCGCAGTTCGTTCAATTTTCTGTAGCTCGTTCGTCTTCTGCTTATCAATGTATACCACCTTGCATCATCGGGGCATTCAAGCGTAATAATCCTTCACGTTTCGGTCACATAGGTTTGCTCCAGTAAAATGGTGTGAAGTGATACAGTTTTTGGTTTATACATGTAAAATACACCCTCTTAAGTACTCTCAAGACTTGTTCTTTATGTATTCGTTGAATTTCAAACCAAAACTTTAACCACTTTTTAGTCAGATATTTTTCTGGAAATAGCTTTTTCTGTCTCATTTAGGGTCAGTTATTACTAGATAATTTGGTGGATTGCAACAGGACCTACACATTTGAAGTGGAACTCTCAGTAAGTTCTACATGTTTTGCTACTGAATCTCACCCAATAAAAGGGAACAATGTATTGCAGTCCTTTTGGATTACAAGAGCATCTTTTCTGGTCATGTTTTCTTCAAAACCACATAGGGAAATCAGACTGTAACGAAACGAAACGGTATCTCCGGTCAAGTTAGGTTTATTTTCTCTCGCTGTCTTCACACTTTGATGAAAGCAGAAGCAGTGTACGTCCGCCCTTTTTTTTTCGATGTGATTCATCATCTCACCTAAGGCTATCCCCATCTAACAAACCGGGTAACTGCTTGTAGAGGAAAAGTCCTCCAACATAGATAAGATGCCATTTCAAACAAGTATCTAGTTATAAAGCTTTTATTGACTATTCGAAAGATTAAATAATGACATAGGTGGATAACACAATTATTTGAGGCTAGTAGTTTACTTTATGGTCCAAAAAATTATCCAAGATATTGAACTAGATGTTCTCAATGGTGAGAACAATGAATATTTCTCAATAAAGTAAGCATTAAGAGATAATTAGTGATAACAAAATGATCTACTTCACGATCAGAAAACTACTGAACTTTGTTGCAGTAATTAAGGACTCTGCTACTACTATCGAAGCTGCTTAATAATCTGGTGCCCCTTTCAATGAACGTATGCTGCCAGTCCTTGTTTGAAAAGCAGGAGGGATGGTTGCTTGTTGGTGAACGCGCTTTGGTTTTAAATTATGTCTAGTATCAACGCGTGATAATACTTAGTCATAGCCTTATATAACAAAGGTTTCAGAAATTTTCTTGCGCTGAAGTCTACTTGTAGTTCATTATAATATATTTAGCGTTCTCCGGTATGGATTGGGAAAGGGAAAGGTCGTCGAAGTCCAGTCTCTTGTATTCCCTTACTTACGTCTCCTTGTTTAGAGAGGGAAAGCAGGGGGCGTCTTGCGACTCATTGAAACTTTGTTACTGGGGCTTTTACTGATCTCCTCAAAATGGAAAGTCGTCATCCTGGTTTAATACAGGATGTCATTTCATGTAAACTAATAAATCCTGACCTTGGGTCCACATCACAGGCTCCATTAGAGAGAAGAAAACAATTCAGAATGCAGGCACGAATTCCTTCTCCAAGGGAAAATAGTCAAGAAGATTCAGCTGGAAGAACAGGTGAGATGGCTTAGTCAATATCAGCGAAGTTTCATTTGGCCCAGTTTCAGAGGGGTTTCTTTTTTTTCAGTGTTCAACTCGATATCTGAACTCGTTCGCTACGTTCACTCGTCAGCCATCGAGTAGAACACTCGAAAAGAAATTCCATCTCTACGCGCGCCCATGTATTCTCCTCTATCTGTGCGCACGGCCCTGCATCATAACATGACGTGTCTTCACTTCGGCTCACTAGCGAGGGTTCAAAACTTTCAAGATTGTTTTTCCGTTCTATCCCGGTTGAGGTAGACCATTTCGAGCTCAAAATGAAAAGAAAATATGCAAAATACCACTCGTTTCGAGGAACGATGAGTATGTACCTCTTTCAAGCGACGAAATTAGATTTGGAGTTGACGATTCTTCATTCTCAAACGCGATACGCCTGGCTGGAAACAAAACAAAGTTTTCTGACTTTAGCTGAGGATTTGCAACATTTTGGGTACTCTCCATTAGAGCAGTTAATATTATTTTGAAGAATTGGTATGTCCCAAAAAGGTTGTTCAATAGAAGATTTTGTTTTGAAATCGTACAATTGTCAGAATTTTCAAAAAAGGTACGCAATTTTCTGGTCTCAATTCTTGTAAACAACAATTTAAGCAGAGTAAGCATACCACACGGGTATCGTAAATGAAAGGAATTTGAAAGTTTTTCGCTTCGTTTTTCGAATAGTTGATAAATTTTTTTTTGTATTGACATTTCCTGAAACCATTGTTCAATGAAAGACCGTACAATTTCGGAATTTTCAACATTTACAACACAAACTTACGCAATTTTCTGGCCTTGAATTCTAGTAAACACCGATTTAAGCATGCTCAACCCACTACGCGGTCTTGTACTTCCAGGAAAGTCTTTCGTATTTCGCTTCTGAGTTAAAAATATACAATTTTAGTGATAGTGATAAAGATTTGGTCTCCAAACATTTCTTGGTCGGTTTTTGCCTTGACATTTATTCACAGTTTTCGAGTAGAGCACGATTACCTGGTAAACCCAACAAAGTTGTCATGAACTCTGTTTTCTCGAGCACAACTCGTGTCTACATGCATGCTACGTTTCGAGCAACTGATAGGCTTCTGTTTCTGTTGCGCTCTCCAAACCTCTCGCGTGCATCCAAAACTTGCCTAGTATAAACTAATTCTTTAATACACACACACACACACACGCACGCACGCACACACACACACGCACGCACGCACACACACGCACACACACATATATGATATATATATTAAACAATTCAATATGTACCGCGTTAACATAGGGTAACATAGCTTGCAAATTTGCATATTTACAATAAGGTCGTCTGTAGACGTCTCCATTTTTGTAAACAATTCTATAACCTAGCTGCAAACCTATTAAGTGGCGGAAACCGCAATCCATGGCTCACTGGCGGGTTTTGATCATTGTTTTAATCAAGACCAATTTTTGTGTAGCTCCTTAGTGTTCAAACAGGTCACAGTTCCAAAAAAGAAGAGTGAGACATCGTTACGTCATAGGGAAGCAGCTTGGTTGTAGGCAATATTTATTATGTTGCTATATTTAAGGCTTAAGTTACCCTATCCTACCCTCTGGAATCTGAAAATTTAGTCAGTATTATACTTTCTCGATACTTTCAAATGGCGGTGGTCAGAAGTATTTATTTAGTTATTGGAGCTTAGTTCTCCCTTAGGAGTAGGTTCAGACTTCTAAAAAATAAATTGTTTTTGTATGACACAGGGCTCTCTACACACTACATGTCTTCACAGTATTTAGCAGACAGCAGTCTTAGTGAAGATATCAGTCAGTATGATTTCTCTACACCAATACAGGTAAAGTCAGATTTGATGAACTGAGGTTCAGCCAGTTCCCGTTTAAAGGGCTGACTTTTGCGTAAGAGGGCAAAGACATACGTAATTGCATTTAAGTTGTCATACAAAAAAGCGAAAAGCCAAGTAGGAAATGAAAAGAATATAAAATTAGGAAAGTAGCACATAAAATAAGGCGCTTTACACAGAACTTCCACAAAAAAAATTATTACAAACGTCTCGCGATTATCATAAGTGTGTTTAAAAATGTCAAGTGATTCCAAAACTCATGTTGGTTTTTTATTTGACAAAATATACTCAGTTGGGAAAACCATGAAAGCGTCATATTGGCTGCACTAGTGAAAATTTTGTCACTTTCCGGTGTGCCTTAGCTCCAAGAATTCGTCCTCTAAAAAAGGATGTTTGTAAAAGCGTAGCACTTCTAAAGAAACATTGGCTTGCATGAGGGTTTCCCGTGGAATTCGTTGAAAACTGATGACTTGGATTGTTAAAAGGCATAACCTATACATGACAAAAATTGTCAAAAACGTTAATTGAAAAAAAGGAACTTCATTTTGATATGTGCAGAAGCGAGTTTTGTTTGACCTGTTAGATCCTTCAATAACAGCTTGGTTTTACAACTATGGCGAAACATTCTAATCCAAAGGCTTCCGAACTCCACCAGTGTTGGGATCACTAAGTGGTTTCCCACGTTATCAAGAGTATGAGAGAAGCACACGACATTCAGCATCCTAGGGATTATAAATGCTATTCTTTCCAGCGCTGCTTGGTTAACGCTTGCGCCATCTCTCATGGCTGTGAGCAAGGAATTTGCTCTGACCCCATAATCAACAGAAAGGCACTGATTAAGAACTTATGCAAATTCGTTGGCATTAACTGACTGAGAGCAAACATCAATTCTCACAAGCCGTTGGATAATGTTCTAGTTATTGTCCGCAAAACGAACTATTATAGCAATTGCTTCCCCTTATCTGGTGCTGCCGTAAAAAATGACTGAAAGGGCCCTTGTCATGCCAACTTGACCAATCATTTTCAATTCTTGTTTAATCCGTTCAATTTCCTGTTTCAAAGCCATGGAAACATACTGTCGTAGATGAGAGCTTCCAATGAGTCGATAGCTGTTCTTCTCTAACAGAGACCATAGCATGTCTATTTTACCGATCGGGATACTCGCCTTCAAACCTCACTGACAACTTCGAGTCTGTAGGCACATTCTTCCACGTGCAACGTGCCATCTTTTGAACTTCCTTCTCTTCTGAATGCCTCGATTAGGGTCTGGTCTTTCAATTTCGACTTTTTCAACTTCTCTTTCCCGTCTTGATGCTTCTTGGACGAAATATGGATTTCAGAACACTTTTCTTGGAGGAAATGATTTCTCTACATCCACTGCAAAACAACTTTCCTTCTCTGACAATCAAATTCTCGCCTGGGAACTTAACTCGCTCATATCACGGGACTTTTTTTGTATCGGTGTTTCCTCTCTGCTTGTAATTTCCACTGGTTGATTCTAAAGATCGATCTCGATCTATCGTTGAAGGGAGTGGTCAATGTTCTCCTTCAGAATTTCCTTCTATGAGCTGCAAGTATCGAGAAGATGGCGCGGCACTGGCCGACGCCATCTCGTTTGTACATGCGCGTGAACTGCCTCTGAAAATTAACCGCTGACTAGCTGCACTCAGTTCATACAGTTACAGAATTCCTTCTCTAAAACACAAAAGCAAATCATCACAATGCTTTTGAATTCTAAAATTTAGCATTTAAATTCTTTTGAGTGCTGAAGTCTAGATCAAAGTTATGCAAATTTTAAATAATGCTAGAAATTCTTTTTACAGAAAAAGTGTAAAACAAAATGCTTTTTCAACCACATAATGCCAAAAAAATGCTAGCGTAAACGGGAAGGGCCTACACGACAGCGTAAACATTATTTTGAACAATCAAAACCCTTGATAACTTCATTTGAGTTCATTTGGCTTTGATTTTCTCCATTTTCCCCGTAAATTTTGAGCTTTTCGTTCACAGTTATCGGTAAACTGGTTCAAATGTTCTCGCAAACCAAAGTATAAAATGTGGCGTGTTTTTGACCAGCCAAGAGGGACATTTGTTTACTTTTTTTGTGCGTTGTGAGAATTTTGCACTCTATCACAATAACAGGCTTCTTCGCGCAGATCTTTGTTGTCGCTCTGTCATCAAAGAATTTGCTCATGCTTTTAGCTGTGTCTATATCGAGTTATGGATACACTTGGGAAGTTTGGAGAACACTCAAAAAGCTAGAGATGCTCTTACGCATTTTTCGCACTCTCCAAACTTCCCGCATGCATCCATAACTCGATATACGCACGCTAAGCGTGAACAAGTTCTTAATTTATTTCTCGCGCCTTTTTCATTCAGGCTCTATCCGCAACTGGAGTGAGGCAAGCTTTGTACAAGTCAAATGGGAGCAGTTCAACTGCAGAGCAGACGGTTGAGTAGACATAGTTTTTTTAATTAAAACGTAGAGCAGTTTAGGTTACTTTAGAGACCGCTTGCACTACATTCTGTCATACTTTGGTAGTAATGTTCATAAATTGAAGCCTAAAAAGCTTTGACAGTTTAACGAAACGGCGAGGGATAAACTTTGTTTAAATAATCAGACCTTAAAGTTAACAGCTAATGTCATTGTTGAGATTTCTTCATAACCAATATATTCTCATCAATATTCCTACCTGTATTTTAAGTTACAGCCAATACCTTAACTGTTTGCTAGTCGTATTACTAAGATGTCACTTACTATTGAGATTTCAAATAAAGAAACACTGTTAAAACTGGGTGATATCCGAGAATATCACTCAAGCGACATTCCCTAATCTTTAAACGTTACGTCCACTACGGTAAGTCTTCGTTTTAAATTTAATTCAAGGCGAGAGAGGGTCTTGTGGTTGATACAGAAGAAGGGAAATCTCTTTTTGTTCATTAAGTCGAACAATCCTGTTAAACATAATAGTAAAACAAAATTTGTACAACGTTCTGCTTGTCGATAAGCTGGAACGCAAATATTATTTTGATTACTTTGTCTTCCATAAATTATTGTATCTCGTGTAAATACTCAATTAGGACTGTGTAAATTGCTTTGGAGTTTTGGTGGTCGGAAATGACAATGGCTTCCGGCTGCTTAAATTGCTTAAGACATCGGTCATAGACAACTCGACGTTACGCCCCTCGGTGGCTATTTACCATCTCATATCCAACACACGCCCATGGAATAATTGTTAAATGTCTTACAAAGGCACAAAATCTGGCTTAATACAAATGTCTCAATCTCTTCACACTATAGCGACGGAATGATTCTTGAAATTGTAGTGAAAAATAGTTGGTCTCCACTATTTCAGGATGACCGGTGTGAAGTCAGTGAGGATACGTTGGAGATGGATGATTTGAACAGGCACGAGTGTATGGCAAAATTGAGTTCCTTGTTGAAGCACCTCGTAGACAAGAGAATTTCACCCAATCAGCCCAAGGTATGTTTAATTTGAGCTTGAATTTACAGGGGTACTCAGTATTTTTTCTGAAGATACAAGCAACTATTTACGTACAATCTTCTTTCAGTTACCGTTTCGTTACTTCGGCGGTACCTCCTATTTGGGTTAAAGCTACAAATGTACTGGTTCTATCACACTCATTCACACATAGGTAGCTACAACCTATGTGCCGTAGGTATCCGCCGCTTTCGCTCCCTATCGAGTTCGCCCCTTCGAGTTCGCCCCTACCTTATACCGTGTTCGACCCCACCAAGTCGAGTTGGCCCCCAGATTGAGTCATGTCTAAATTAGTTGCCATCGAACATTGCAAACAAGTTAGAACCAAGACAAGTTTTGAATTTTAATTGACCGACGGCCATTTTGAAAGTTTTTAGCTGGGGCGACCGGAAACAAGAAATAATGTGGTCAAACAGTGAAATACAGAGAACTTTCGTTGGTCATGACCTTTATAGATTGGGTGGCTCCTACAGGAGCCGTTTTTGTATTTGACCGAAACGAAAGGCTACAAGGTCGTTCAACGATCGGGTTGCTAGCAATCTCGCGGCCCGTAAAGTTCGGAGTAGGCTCGCAGCAACTGCTTCGCTGTCCGATCACCGTTCTCGTACTGATCCCATAGGCTGAAGATCTTTGCTTGCAGCTGCCGGTAGGTTCGTCGCTGAAGTCTGCATAGTTTGTGCTCCGAAACCATTCGGATTTGGAGGGTCGTCTCTCCGTGAAGCAGCTGGATCAGCATGTATAGGGGAAGCTGACTTTTTCCCTGAGAAGAAAATGAGGAAAATACATATAAATACGTGAATATGCACGAACGCATTGATGATCAGTAGCTGGCTGAAAAGTTTTCGGCAAAGTTTGAAGGTACCGTCGATGTACCAGGCCTTGGCCCTGCACAACACCTCTAGCTGTTGCTGGCTGGCGAAGAGAAGGTGACGACGCCCACGTACCTGTAAAATCAAACAACAGAGTGTTAATGTAGCTGGTTGAAATATATAATAAATAGTGCAATAAACGCGTGATAAAAACATTTGATGATGAAAGACAAATGAAATATTTGCAAGAACTTTTTACAAGGGTAATTCTTTTACAAATGCCTAACCTTAAGAGAAAGTTCTCAGGGATGTGCTCGGGCTACAATTCAAACTCGAGGTCTAGGGGATCTGCTGGTCTCAATCGCTGCCGAAGGTGGTTAGCTGCTTTGGCGAGGTTTACTGGCTTTGGCAAACTGGGGCACGGATCATCTGTCAGATCCTCCATCAGCACCTCGTTAACAATTGCAGACGCCGGCTTAAACAAATTCGTGACAGCCTCCTTTTTCGTCTTTGCAATTATCCGGGCTGCTAAGCCTGCGCCCACTTGCCCTGGGTGATTGTGCGGCTTGGGGCCCAAGACTTTAATCAAAGAAAAGAATGTAAAACTGTGGGTACCTTTGGTCTAACAGTGCACTGCCAATCAGTGTTTTCGCCTCGACGTCTTTTAACGTTGTACGTGTAACCACGGCTGTCCACCAGCTTGTCTCGGCCCCGCTTTGTGGAATCGTCTACGATCTCAATCTCGATCTCGAAGCTGGCTGGTCCCGAGTCTGTGGCTGAAGGCTCCATTGGCGACGACTCATCAAATGCAGGAGGCTCAGAAGGCATAGCAGGAGGGTAAAAGTGTGGTTAACATCTTTTCAAGTCTGGTTGTTATGATCAACACAATGCGATGAAAGCGCGGTTTGCGATCCTGGTTTGCATTTTCTCAAATCTGGTTGCTATGACCTTAAAAACACAATGAAGTGTCCAACGCATTCTCTCAAGAAGTCTTAAATAATCAAAAGTGTGATCAAATCGTGCTTTCGTAAATTCTTCAGTCTTAATTTCATAAATAAAGCTAAACGAGGTACAAGTCTAACAACTTAAGCAATGCTGTCTCGATGAAAGCGTGGTTTACATCTTCTCAAGCCTGGTTGCTATGACCGAAAACACAGTGAAGTGTGCAACGCATTCTTCTAAGAAGTCTTAAATAATCAAAAGCGTGATCAAATCGTGCTTTCGAAAATTCTTCAGTCTTATTTTTATAAATAAAGCTAAACGAGATACAAGTCTAACAACTTAAGCAATGCTGTCGCGATGGAAGTGTGATTTGCATCTTCTCAAGTCTGGTTGCCATGACCGAAAACCCAATGAAGTGTGCAACGCATTCTCTTAAGAAGTCTTAAATAATCAAAAGCGTGATCAAATCGTGCTTTCGTAAATTCTTCAGTCTTAATTTCAGAAATAAAGCTAAACGGGTACAAGTATGACAACTTAAGCAATGCTGTCGCAATGAAAGCATGGTTTGCATCTTCTCAAGTCTGGTTGTTACGATCAACACATTTCGTGTTCGTTAGATAAACCGAGGTTGTTTTACATTTTGTCTAGTCTGAATAATAAGTTAAGCAATGTTGTTTTGATTAAGTGTGGTTATCTTTATCACAAGTTCAGTGTATACAGTTATTTCTGGTAACCCCGGATCCCACGCTGAGTATTTAGTTGATTCCGTCAACCCAGTTCCCAAGCAGGTTCCACGCAATTGCCGAAATTCAAAATGGTCATCGCTGACGTGACATTTGGCACATTCTGCTAGTGCCTTCGTCACAAATCAACTCATCTGAATATCACTCAATCAAAGGGCGAACTCGACTTGATGGGGTCGAACTCGAAAAGTGTGGAGGCGAACACGGCATAAGGTAGGGGCGAACTCGAAGGGGCGAACTCGATAGGGGGCGAACGCGGTGCAATTCGTGCCGCACGCCCATTTGTCGTAAAGTGTCAAACTGAAGCCATTCGGTCCCCGCTTATAGACTCGTCATCCTGTAGAATACTTCTGATTGTAAGTCTCCCCGGATGTAAGCTCCTCCTTTGAGAATGTAGAAACGAATTTTGATTAGTCACGGCTTTTAAAATCTTCATTAAGAACCAGCAATTGAAACTTGTGTTTCGACCGACAGTGTTGTAGCTGTCTTTTCTCTGTTCCTCGATTGAATTATCGAACCACGTTCAAGGATAATTGGGAAAGGAAGGAACGAAATACTGTGAAGCCACCTTAACCTAGGAAGGTGTAGATTTTAGATTTTTGTAGAAGGTGTAAACTTTTGTAAAAGTTTGGGTCCAAGATTATTCTTCAAATTATTTAAATGAGTATTTGGAAATACAAAAATAACCCGTTGTTATGACGTCGGATTTTATCTTATAAGTGTGTCATTTCATCTGTGAACTTACTTACAGGATGTACCTCCGACAGACATGGCAGCATGGATGGCTCCATTACACAAGAAAATGACATCATTAAGTACCCACCTTAACATTCGACTCTTCATTGCCAAGCTTATTATTAATGAGGCCAAGGTATTAGGCAGGAAGTAGATCTTGATACTAATTAAGTAGGCCACATTATAGAACCTTTTCAAAGTTATGTAAGTCAAAGGCTGCATACAAAGCAGGTGGGTGCTCACTACACTTTAATAAGAACAGAATATGTCAAAGAGATTTCACATGTTCAACTTTTCAACATTTTAAAAGCTCTGTTCATATAATGGCACCACTGTCTTTCGTTGCATAAGCAAATAAAACAAATACCTGCATTTAAAAAGGAGAGTAATTCGTAAACCACACTCGCCAAGAGATACAAAGTTACACTCATTCAAAGCCTGTACGTGAACGTTCGTTTTATGGCTGATAATTATCCTAACCCAGCCACAGCTGGCCTCATCCAATGATAAGGTAAGGACATGTGAAAACTTTATTGGATTGTCTTGAAAAATTGTTTGGTGCCACAAAAAACTTGTAACCGATGGCATCAGCGGAGAATCCCTTAAAACAAACTCTAGACGAGCTTTAAAATGATAATGTTTTCGCTTTGTGACCTAAAAATCATTTATTGATTTCAGTTATCACTGACAGTGTTTTTATGGGCGTGTCGTAGTCTCTCTTGTGACATTCCCATTACAATTTTTTAAAGATATTTGAAGCCTATGCAAAGTTCTGGCTTAATCCTTTAATGGAGCTAATCCTGCAAATGAAAGAGACAGAACCGGCAGGTATAGAAGGCATCAATTACTTCATTGTGGATCTTGTAGTCACTCTGTTGTCGTGGAGTACGACAGCAATACCAGAGGTTAGTCAAGTGAATTTTTCAGAGAAAATTAAACGTATTTATGTATTTCTTACGATTCAATATTAAGATGACTCGAGAAAAATTATTTTTATAGGATAGTGACAGTGATCGTCACCTCACCAGCAGACTTCTCGGGTTTCTGATGTCTAGAACTCGACACAGGCATCGCGCTTTATTCAGGAACAACTTGGAAATAGTGAAATGTGTTGTGGAAATCTGGAAGAGCATTCTTCATGTGCCTACAGAGTACGTTAATCTTGAATTTCGTAGGAAAGCTTGTATGCTCTATATGCTTTAGGCATTCATAGTAAATTGGTTTGTAGCTTCTTTTTAATGTCGTAATCTAGTAGTAAATGATTGCAGTTCTGACGTGTCCAAACCGATGAATGTTCAGTATTATTAAGGCTTTGCGATTCTGCTCATCTTTAAAGAATTAGGAATATGAAAATCATTTTCAATGTAACCTTACAAGCAAAACCATGAAAGATGGCGGTCTGTTCCTGGCTGTCAACCAGTTGGGAAGTTATCTACTTTAAGTAGAACCAATTTGAAATGTTGCATGAGCTTAAGAGAAAACTTTTTATCGCAGAGAGAATTCCAAACAAAGGAACACGAATTAAGACAGTCACTTTTAGTCGTGAACTACAAAGATTGTTTATTACTAATTAATTGTTAGCGTGCTCGTGTCGATCTGTCAAAATTGATGTTTAGAAATACCGAAACCACCTGAAAATCAGGCCTTTATCTGTTTTACACTTCATTTATATGAAACTTTTTCTCTCTTAGCAATCGTTTTTAGTAAGGAGTCGCTCAAAGTCGTGGAAGGATGAACTTCCTTTTCCCGGCTCTCTGGAGATAATTGATTCCACTTCAAGTGTTATTTTCCTTACGGGTTCATAATTTTTCATCTATCCCCTTTTAATTTTTCCTTGCACCTTTAATTTCTCTCAATCCCTCTTCATGAATTTGATCAATAAGCAAGAATGACTTTATTTACTCATTTCTATGTTTATTGTATTTTGCTCCAACAGCCGTCTATAGTGTTACGGGAATATTTCGGGATTTTTCCGAGTTACATCTCAATATTTTGGCCGCTCTCGATGCATTTGAGTTTATATCATCGTAGCATTTTAAAAAGGTGTACAAAAGCTAGCAGAATTTCCCTTCAATTACAAACGAGTACATTTCGCTTTGTCACTCGCCGTACTTTGCGCACCTATACGTCGCTCCTTTTGATCACCATCGAAGTAGAGACGATTCGGTAAATATTCGCGGTAACGACCTTTTCTGGCAATACGGGCGTAATGTCACTGATGAAAAATGCGAAGGAAACACTGTTGAAAGGTCCGCTTTTATAGGCTTGGCTTAATCTATAAATTACATGTGTTGCTTGAAAAACCCAAGCGTGAGTTATTACTATAATGAATAAGGTGCTTGTGTCAGTTACGTACGACAGTCTACAGGTTTACTAGTTCCACTGTCAAGAGGGGAAGCAATAACTGGTATAGTCAAGTAGTTTCTGAACAATTGGTACATGTACCATTCTACGGTGTCTCGTAGCTCGGGGTCCTTCTTTTTCTTTGTTTGTTTCATTCTTTATTTTCAGTTGCAGACCAATTTGAACTGTTAAATTTTTTATTTAAGGGTGATATTTCACTCGTTTTCTGATCCTGACCCGGTGAAAAAGGACAATGCTGTTGGTATTCAGTTACTTGGAGTAGTTGTTGCAAATGGTTTACTCCCTGTTACTAGTGACTCCACAGTTGATGAAGACAGGTGAAGTTCTTAACGTCTGTCTCAGATCTAGTGTATGTTTGCAGTGTACTTTTACCACACACCTATTGTATAACCTTAGATGTGTAAGGTTCGATGCTACCTCAGCTTTTTCGTCCTCGTTAATCTCTTCAGTTAAAAGAAGGCAAGGTGTCCAACCAACCTGTAAGAAAGAGGTACATGTACTGAAAGGAGGAGTCTTTATTCTCCGAGAAATTCTTCCCCGGTTTGTTTGACGATATTGAAAATGCTTCAATAAGGGAGGACTTGGGGTTAGTCAGATAAACGCCCTCGGATAATCTTTGTGAGGATAATTTTAACGGGTCCACGTAGGGCATTTTATTTATTTGAAGAGGATAGTTTTCCTTCATTATTTGCTGTTAACAATTGCCAATTTTCAACAGGTTTTATAATATTCTCGTCAACAACTTAACTTTCAAATACAAAGATGTCCATGCTGCAGCAGCTGAAGTGATTGGACTGCTGATGATGCAGTTAGCAAATGTGAAAAAGGTAATGAAAAGCCTGGTACATAGTAGCTTGCTTAAAAAGTTACAAATTTGCGTCTCCACTGGGTTTCAGTAATTCATCAAGAGGGCTTTAAATGTAAAATTTTGCTGGCTGCAAGTACGCTGTTTAGCTCTGCTCTTACCCGCTTGAGGAGTCACATACTCGTTGTTTGAATAAGGCTTGGCCGTAAATTGAACTCGTGGGGCAAGCACGGCTCCCTAAACTAGGCTCGAGTCAGCGGTCTATAACTGCAATTTCACCAACGCTTCTGTGTCTAGTTTATGAGAAGTTATTATTTTGCACCACCATTGTGATATTTATAAAATTAGCTAAGGTATGATCTGTTTTTTAAAAACCTATTCTAAAAGTTAATAACTAAAAAAACTGGGGCTTCTGTGAATGTGTTTGTTGCTCTTTTTACGCCTAATGTATTCGATTTATCAACCTCTAGATATTTGATGGTCCACTGCATGACATGGTCAGTCAGAAGCTTCTGTCTTTAGTTAATACAGCCAAACCTGAGCATGACAAGTTCATCATTTGTGTGCATAAACTGCAATTAAACTATCCACCCATTGTGGACAGGTAAATGCGCGCTGGTTTCAGTTTATTATTTTTTGTGTCTATTCTATTCATGGCACAAGTTTTACCTTCTTTATTTTCTCACTCAGGTTTTATTGTCCTTCAGCCCCCTCAGGAGTAAGAGGAATTTCACAAAAATTAAAACACAAAAAACTAAACGTAAAAAATTAAATCCTGAGCGAAGAATGAAACCACGAAAGAATGACGAAACATAAACTACTTTGATCACTTTTGTCACATCACCGTATATCTGAAATAATATTTTGTTGAATTTCAGTAAAAATATTCCCTTTATTTACATACGACGAGCAGAACTCCTTCTAGACCATGGAACATTCTAAGAAACTGTTGAATTATCCAACTCTTAAAAGTCATTACTATTTTCAGTCGAGTGGCTGGTTGCCTGTAAACATGCTTCTCTGAGACAGTAGATTGTTTTGTGTCTTAATTGCCATTACGTTCCTGCTAATTCCACACTCTGAATCTGATTTTTATTTGATTGTTAGGTTGATATGTGACTTAAAGCTACTTGTTGCTACATGTACATATTGAATTCTTCGAATGGGTTTAATAACAAGCGTTATTTGTTAACTCGCTGTTATGATGCTCTTTATTATTTCGTGACTGTTTGTTTCCTCCAGATTCGTGAATCAGATTTTGTTTACACTACCTTCTGTTCATGGTGATTTCAAGACATACTGCCTCGAGATTCTTTGTTCAAGAGTGGAGCACATCCCCAAGTTGTTCACAGAGCTTAAGGAAAGAGGCTTGAAAGAAATGTTGTCTCAAAGGTAATGCTGCCTCGGTCCTTTTAGCTTTTAAGTGAATATTGCAATGTAGCTGTAATCTTTCAACTCATCGCCAGCTCGCCTGTTGACTGGTAAATGTGGCACATTGAAATAGCTTTTTGATTTTTTAGTTTCTCTGAGACCATGCTTTTTGTATGTCTCCGAGTAGAGAATAGAGAGACGTTATTGTATCAGATCCCGCAGGGATTTCTTGCCTTAACTCTGAACACGAGAAAAACCACCGGATCGGTCGGCTAAATATGAGTACCTTACCAACCATAAGTATGGGATGACGCTTTGATAGTCTTGAAATTGAAATTATTTGATCAACAGTTGCAAAAGCAGATGGGAGAGCAGCCTTAGTACTTTTATAGTTAGTTGAGTCGTCGATGTACATAGTGAATCGGTTTACAACAGCTCTTACTTTACAGCACTATTTTCGGAGATAAAGTATTTCGGTCGAAGTTGTTGTAGTCACTGTGATCTAGTAGGGTTACTTAAGTAGTGGTCTGAGGACAGGTTTTTTAAGGGGGTGGGGGGTATACCAGCAGACTCGCGTGGGAATTTTTTTATAAGTCTCCTTGTCGATTTACCAAACAATTTTGCGCAGTGAACAGAAATTTTTTTGTTGATTGAGGTAGGTCAAATGTCTATTTGGAAGTAAAAGAACGCCGGATCTATTTAAGTGTTTTTTCATTTTAGATAATGGCACATGTTTATCTGGCAAAGGAATATGATTTGACGCTTTTCTCTCTGTCACCAAGTAGTGTTGATGTAATGTAAACATGTGCACAGTGGATGATGTGGCAGAGTGGTCTTAAGATAAATCTGATCCCAAGACAATATTCGTCAGGAGTCGTTTGGGAGAAACAAGGAAATATGATCATGCTCGTACTTTCCTGGACCTTTTGTTTTTCGAGTCGTCTTATCGTTTTCGTATTTTTAAATTTTATGTAACTCATTGGTAAAGTGGATCTATAGAGGGAATTTCTTTTCTTTTGCGAGCTGTGAGCTTAGATTCACGTCACTTACGTAGTAGGGAACATGTTTTTACCATACACAACTTTTTGCGCATCATAAGCTTGCAACCTTACTGATTTTACGCTTAATTATGAACAATTAATGATATTTGTTTAGATGCAACAACTTTGTTTTGATTCAATAAAATTTCTGAAAACAAAAAATTGTCAATGTTTACTAATTCATAGTATTAAATATTCTCTTGTAGGGATGACGGAATTCAGATTGCTGTTTTGAGGATAATTAAACATCTCTTAAGGAAGCTGACGATTCCAGAACTTAAGTTAATTTTCCCTTCAGTAAGCTCGTTTGTCTCTCATCCGAACTTGTTGTGTAGAGATCTGATGTATGACATATTCATCTGGATTTACGATTCTTACAGGTTTGTGGAACAAAGGTGCAGCAATAAATTAGATTGTAAGAATTTAATATCCATTTCACCCCAGATTTCTATGTATGAATTTGTTTCTTGGAATAATCTCTGAAGGCAAATCTGGATTCCCCAATTTAGTTTAAGGTACCTATTAATTATAGAAAAGTGATACTTTTAGAGAAACTTCCCTTGTGACATATAAAAAGGAGGATTTAAAACGAAAGCGAAATGTATTGCCAAAGTATTTCAAACAGATTGATAATTAGGGCTTCAGCAAGCTTTGCCTAAGTTCTGCCGGGGTTTTTCTTACCAGATTTCAGTCAATACTAAATGTTCCGTTTCGCTGTAGGATTGAGTTGTAGCTAGAAAGGAAAACTTTTAAATAATTACGTATTATTGGCAATCACATGATGGACAAAGAAGAAAATAAGATTGTTCAGTGGCACTAAGGTCACCATATGACGAAATCATCCTTGCCGATTGAAAAGCTTATTGTTGACGCGAATGATACCGAACTTCAAGTGAAAGTTCTTCGCTCGACGGCCTGGTGCTCTACTGTAAAATGATACCTATTATGATTGTTGTAAAGGGGGTAGTATAGATTTCATTTGATAATCAATTAAACGGAGGTTTTTCCTGGATAAGGGTCATCGGATTTGAATGATAGTGCGTTACATGTTGTCAGCTCATTTTTGTGTAATTTCCAGAAATATAGTTCATAGTTCAAGAATCAGTCGTAATTGATATGTACTCCATAATTTGCTGTCTATTCATCCTTTGCATTTTAAACTGAGGTAAGAAAGGGAGTCATTTAGTTATGGAACGTGGGCTCATGAGATAGATATTGGACTGACTTGCAACAGGATAACACCATAAAGTCGTTGCCAGTAATTTTATTGTTAGTCGTCTTCATTTCTTGATCAAATGATGTAGAGCTGACGAAGCATTCCAAGCTGAAGAGGGATCGGCAGACATTTTGGCCGTTGCCAAAGATCACCTACTTCAGGGCCTTGCAGATGATAACAGAGATCTCCAGTGAGTTATTCAATGCACAAGAGTTTTTTTACATTTTTGTGCTCAGGAATAGTTACATGAAAGGCAAACTATTTCCTCTGCTTTCAGGCTAAAATTGCGCAACTTTTGGAGTGACGAGGCTCGACTTCCAGGAACGACGCTGGAACGTTTGGTAGAAGTGCTACGAGCTTTGTACTCAACTACTTCTGAGATTCAGGTTTAAGTATCTTATTTACTGGTGAATTACCAACTGTTAATTTCGAATGAGGACTTAAAGCCTAAACTTAACAGCCTAAAGTGAATCCGGCAATCTAAACAGAAAATAAAGTGGGACATATTTTGTATGACAGTCGGTATCACCTTCAAAGTATCTTAAGAATGTAGATAACACAACTGTTATAGGGGAGAAGGGATTGTAGTTATTAAGTAGTTGCAAGCATTATCTCCCATTCCTTTTATGAAGTGGTTTTCGTTGCACCTCATTTTGAAGTATTAATCTTGATCAGGAGCAAATAATCTAGAAAGGTCTTAACTATGACTAGTAAGAGCTCGTGTTCATGTTTTTAATTTCTTTCTTTGTTGTGTATGACTCAATAACCTTTGTCTCTCCCACACAGTATCTGAGCTACACTACAAACCTTATTCTACATCTGACGTCTCTTAGCCCAGATTATGGTTGTTTGATGTTTGAACAGCCACTGTCTGAGTGTAGGTTTGAGGTGAGATAATCCTGTAGTGCCCATGATGTTCTATGTGAAAAACGAAATAACCATTTTCACTTAACTATTTAGGGTTTTCTCATAGGAGTACCAAATAAACTATTCCTGGCAAAAGAGATATCTGGCAATGACACCCTTATTTGCAGCAACGCAAGGTTCTTGTGGCTCTGCAATGACTCCGACACAAGAATCCATGTCAGTCGATGGTCTTCCTGGATTAAGGGCAACACAAAATATACAGTTTACGCCAACTCAGGATCAAGGAAGATCACAAGCCTTCGATTGGCTTAATCCATCCCAGGTTTGTTGTGTGTTTTGTTTTTTTCTTAAAGAAGTCCTGAGTGCCAGCTTTAATGGTAGAATTTGTAGTAGGAAGACCTCCAAGTGAAACCCTTATGGTGTAATACAATGAACGATTCGACTTTAAAATACGCCAAATAACCAGCTACAATTATCTGTCCTCTTTATAATTGCCAAGGAATTACATTATAAATCAAAACAGTGAATTACAGGCTTATTCTTTTAAGGAATCAAATCTACATCCATCCCAGTCTTTTGCCTTGGCTTCAACTCAGGCCCAGTCCTTGCTACTCTTTAGTACCTCGCAGTCGCCTAAACGTGGAAAGATGCTGAAGCCTGTTCCAGGTGACTTCGGTGGTCAAAAACTGTCGCAGGGCTCAAGTTCGCAGGACTCTTCTCAGCAATTCCGAGGTCAGCCTTTCGCAGTGATGCTTTTTTTAAGTTAGGGGAAGGGAGTCCTGTTTGAAAGAGCCATTTAGCAAATGATTACATCTCTACCAACTCCTCCCTAGTGCGCGTGTATGTAGTAATCGAAAATGATGTCAATTCTTTCGCAGTCAAATAAAATTGGTTAAGATAATACAACGGTTGAAGAAAGTTTAAATTATAATGAAGATATAATTTCGCCGAAAAGATTGAGGACTGCGTTCTTTTTAAACGGCTGAATATTCAACTTTCACGAGTTTCTCCAATTTAATGAATTATGTTTTTCACGCATAGATTCCCTTTCTTCTTCGGTTCGATTTCTCCTAACACATCAGTGTATGCGAAGTCCTTCTCATTTTCAGGAGATTTTGCTGCTGTTGTGGAGACAGAGGGAGCAGAGAATTCGTTTTTGATTTTATTTAAAGCTAAATGAACTGTACAATAGACGTCTGCTGGAGACCTATCCGCTCTGTATGTTTATTTCTTGCAGAGCACTCTTTTGGTGAAATAAAGTTACAAAAGTTATAAATCTTGTGTGGGCAGTCTGGTCCGGTGGCCGTGGACAACCAGATAATTGTTGTTCTTGAATCAATAATGGCTGTTCACATTCTCTCAGCTAGCAGCATGTCAACCGAAGCGAATTCCGTTTACCTCACCAGTGCAATGATGTTAAGGCCCCCAAGTGTTGAAAATTTCACGATTTTTGTGTCAACCTAAATAGGACGCAATAGACGGCCGCGCACGCGAGCCAACGCAGTAAAACACACCATTCATCGAAAAAGATACTTCTTTTAACTTTTTTTTTTCCTATAAGTTTTTTGCAACAAAGCCGTGTAAGTGCAGGGTCGGAGCAGCCCACGTCAACCCGTCCGGCCCTACACACGTTAGCTTTCACCATCGTTTACTATGGGATTGCTCAAACTGGGCCGTACGGTCATTTGTTAAAGTTATTAGCACCTCTCCGCTTCCTGTGGTTGAGAACAAAAGTCGATGTTAAGCACCGATTTTCAGAATGGCAACTAAAATATCAAAATATTCTAGGCGCAAAGTACTGTGTTTAATTTTTTAATGTTTTGTATTGCCTTCACAGACCCAAATGAGAAGAAGGAAATCCTTAAACTGAAAAGGCGTTTCCTTAAGGACCAATCCCAAACGAGTACTTTCTTTGCAAAACAAGCCATAAAAAGGAATAAAATCCGAGAGGTATATTGAAGGAAAGATTTCAGTGTATACTTGCTCAAATTATGTAATTCAATTGCTGTACCCAACGACATATCTAATATGATCTGTCAAGGAACCGAAGAGGGTAATTCATATTTACACAAAATATCTCCATTAATTTGCCTATTTTTGATGGTTAGTTCTTTTTTCCTTATTCGATTCGAGTGTACGTTAAACGGGACGTTTTGAATAAGAAAATACGCGTCTTTGACATTTTTTCCAAAAGCACACTCTTAGTTACTACAATGCACCAAAATACTGGGTCACATCTATATTTAAGTCAAATCAATACCCTTTGTAACAGGAAAATCGATATAGTGTAGGTGACTATCTTTTGTTGTGTTTTCTTGTTTTAGCAAGCCATTGAAAGGCAGAAAGCTGCTCGTGAAGGTGCTATTGTGATGTATAGGAAATACCGTAGTGGAGACTTGCCAGACATTCAGATTAAATTTTCAGAGCTTATTGCTCCTTTGCAAGCGTTGGCACAGGTCAGAACTGATACTGATTTGAAAGTTAACTTTCATACAGGGTCGTGACTAGTTAAAAGAAATATACAGCTAGGTTTTAAGTGAAAGAGAGAAAAACTTCATATGAAAACTTTGATTAGTAGTCAAGAATAAGCCGACTTAGGGGCTCTTCGTATCCTTCTTTCCTTTGACTGAAATTTCTAGAGGAATTTCTATGGCTTTACTTCGAAAGATGTTTATTCGTGTGTGGTATTTCGAAACTTTAGGTGGAGCAAAATTATGACAATTGACCCTTAACACTATTGTGGCTTTTTTAGTGAACAACGTCATCAGTTATATTTCTGTTTGTACCTTTTCCAGTGTGACAATACTTTTGCTAAACAATTGTTCAGCGCTCTGTTTCGAGGGGTGTTTTCAAAGATTGATGAAAAACTACCAGAGAGGGAAGCAGCGAGCGTTACATCAGATCTCAAGTCTGCTATGAATCACATGTTGTCCTCCTCAACACAGTTCTTCCCTCCATTTATCTCAAGTATCCAGGTTTGTTTATTCCAGAAGAGTAGTAAGTACCCTTAGTACATTTACTAAATATGCCTGCAGCTTAGAATAAGTCCGCGTGCTCAGTAAGACCATGTGGAAAAATGCAGTCGTGCACTGTTTTAGTATTTTTCCTTCGATTGATATCCTTTTTCAGGATTACCAAGATTGGAACATTCTGTTACCTGAAGAAAGTGTTTTTGTTTCTGAAGAATGTCGTGTGTTGCATCGTTGGACTAGTGGAACACCCGATTGTTTACGAACAGGTTGCATGTGTAATGATAGGGAAAAAAACAATGTAATGAGTACCTGGAAGAGACGTTTTCAGTTTACAAGCTAGTCTTATCACCATTGGAAGAGAAGTCGCCTTAGTCTTTAAAGTGTGTTTTAAGAGATGAAAAGCACTGATACCTTCCTCAGAGGAGTAAATGTTAAAGCGTTCCTAAATTCTATTAAAAAGTTTCCTTGATCTGTGTTAATGAAGTTGTTTTGCTGTTTTTGTTGTTGTTGTTTTTATTTTCATATTTGGAAGGATATATGTTTTCATGAATGTAAACTTAGCTCTGTGGAATCAGCTTCTGTGAGTACAGCATGTTTGACAAGCCTACAGCAACCTATTGGTAAATAATATTTCATTGTTACTTGTGTTTGGTCACAAAAAAGATGAAATTATAAAATGAAACAATGATATTCCATGCTCTCTTCATTCCCCTATTCTACCCATTATACGTTTGTTTGTCTTTGGATTGAATAATTCCGTTTCTGGTTAGAGTAACGAAATGCGCTCTGTAGGTATTATGCTTCTTGAGAAACAGCTATTGGAGATTGAAGATAGAGGCCAGAGCCTCAATAAAAGAGCAAAGATCTCTGTTGCCCCGCCCTCAGAGGTAACAACGTGTTGGATTGAACTTTCCAAGTAAGTGTCATGGTTAATTATTTTATATATGTGTGTCAGTTAGCCTGTATATTGACCTGTATAGTGAAGCTTCTTAATTTGATAAGGTAACCAGAATAGGTTTTCTATTTGTAATATGCATACCTTATTCTTGAGGCCTACAGGTTCTCATATTTATATGAGATTCCTATCTCTGTGATAATTTGTACTGGCCTGTTATATGTACTTTAATTGAGAATAATATATGCTTGTAGGTTGTACCGGTCTATAGGCGACTATGACGTACTGCGAGGTATTTTTACTGGACACATTGGCACCAAGGACATTACAAGAAAAGCTATGGAGGCTGAGGCACGAGGTGATTATTCCCAGGCTCTCAAACTTTACAATGAGGTACGCGAAGATCGCTTTCATTATCATTTCTTAATCCGCAGTTCACATATATCATTTTCACATATTTACAGTCAAACCTCAAACGTCTTGACTATTTCTTGGACAGGCCATTGCAACTGACGATGTTTGGATAAAGGAGGAACTGAGGCAGGAAGAAGAAGATTTGTGGGATGTTTCCAGATTACAGGTATGTTACGTGCGTATTGTTTTATGTTTGCGAACTTTAACAAATGAAGAAGCAAGAACTGTAACTTCGTTAGTCTTGAAACACCAAAGTTGTTGTGAGAATATACACAATGAGTGTGTGTGTGTGTAGCATGGTGGAGTACTAGTAGAGTGCTGTCGCGCCCAAAATGGTGATATAATTTTTTCAAGGAGCTACATAAAAATTTCAGTGAAAAAAAGAATTGGTATAATCCCTCTTTCAAGAGGCAGTTGACAAGTTCACAACTGAAAATCGCACAACAGAAAACGCGCTCAGACAGGTTCACATGTGAGGCGCGAATGTAAATTCAAAAGTAGACAGAGGAGATAAGCAGTTTGAAATTCCCCAACACATGCGTGAACACAAAGGACATCGCAGGGTGAAAATACCTCTGCAGATTAAGTTCAAACCAATATGGCGTCTATGATGGTTGAATCCGACGAGAAATTGGCTAAAAAAGGTTAGGAAGTATTTTATACTATAAGTGAGGAATTGAACCGATTTCAAAGACAAACTTACGGAAAGTCTTGGTTAACTGAAGTAGCCATGCCACTCGCTAGTATTTAAGGAGTCACGTGCGAAGACAAAAACGTGATTCACCATTATGGAAACACTTGTCTGCACCTGTGTATCTCTCCTTCCTTGTGCTTTCGACACATCTGCATTTGCACTTACGTTTCTGTTTGCGTTGCACGTGTGAACTGGGCGTACGATTTTGCAAACAGGAATAGTAACATATACGGCTGACATGGTGTCGTGTTTATGATATTTGTGTCTGTGATACATGCAGTGTTGGTTTTTGATGCGTTGACAGGTGGACAATTATTTATTTGTTGATCAACCCATTTCATTGCTGCGTTTTGATTTGAAAACCTGCAGCGTTCTCGCAGTTTTTGTGTCCTTTTATACACGGTTTTTTCTGATAACGGCCTCTCAAATTTATTGACCTGTTGCCGGACAATTCAGAAATCGGCGCACCGTTTTCCAAACTAATGGTGCTTTGTACACGTTTTAACTCGTACAAAGCTCAGGCTCCACACTTATCATGAGTGAGCTATTTCAGATCTTTATGGCATAAACTCTGTTACTGGAAAACCTGCTTGTAATTGAATTGAAATACTACTCATTCAAAATCATTTTTGTAGTGTCTCGCTGAGCTCACTAAATGGAAGGAATTGGAGAAGTGTTCTGTCGAGAGCATAGACGATAAAAACCCACCAGATCTTGACAAAGTTTGGAGTGACACCTTTTATCAGGTGAAGTTGTTTTGGAGTTACTTTAATTTAATGTTTTTTATTTAAATTGGCATTTTTGTAAGCGTGAGAACGGGGCGTTAGAAAAATATACTCAGACTCTAAAGAAGCCATGCAAAAAATTCCGTAGACGTTGAAGTCATCATTGCGCTCTGCGGAATTATCATAAGATTACAGCGCCAAGAAATGTATCGTTTGTGTACCTGCTGTCTGCCTCTGCACATATCGTCATTTTCAACGCAGTTCCCCCTGCTTTACAGGAGAATTACCTTCCATATCTGATAACAAGTAAACTGAAGCTACAGTGCCAAGGATCTGGTGATATGACGGTGAATGAATTTTTAACCAAAGCGATGAAAACGAGTGAGAGGGCAGCTCTGTTGCAAGTAAGAAGTAGAGATTGAAGAATGAAATGTTCATCAAGTTAGATAAACTCCATAATATCAGCTTATTATTATTTCAATTACCAAACCTTACTTCTTTCTTCCAGAGTCGTCACAGTGATAGCCTAGCTCTGATGTACATTCTCCAAGATGACTGCGACAGGGCATCTTATTATGCTGCTCTCTGTGAACAGAGCTTTCTCAGTGTAAGTTATTTTGCCTTTAGTTACGCTTGTTTTACTTGTCGTATGTATTTGTCGATCACAGCAAGTGCAATAAGAGATCAGTTGGCAAGTATGTAACCATGACCAAATGTCCATATTATGCATGATAAAGAGTCGATATAATACGCTATGTAATTGGTTGAAATAGCGTGATGTATCAGAGTGCAAATGTACAGAAACTTACCGTTGGCTGAATTTCGATTAATCTTCTTCAGTTAAGCGGTTCCCATGACTTACACAAATGCAGAGCAAAGAGCTGTAAATATGTTGGCAACAGACGTAATAAAACTGTATTTAAATTACAAATAGATTGCAACACAGTTAATTTCAACAAAGTGAACTTCGAGAATCGAAATGCTCACACTCGACAATTGAACAGTTGTAACCTTTCTCTGGTATGCTTTCCAGCACTCTCAGTGGAACTAGTAGAGGCAGTTAAACCAACTGTTCAAAACTGGTCCAAATTCTCGTGTCCAGTACTGGTCCAAGGTGACTGAACAACATAACATTGAAAAGTGAAGTGTAGAAGTAAACTATGAAGAGGCAAAACTTCGAATAATTCTGCGGTATTGAAAAGCGATTGTTTTTGTCCTCTGGATTATTTTGAATGTTTTCTGTCTTGTTGTTTGTGTTTTGTTTTTATTGTTTCGTCATATGTGCTCTGCTACTTGCTGAAAGATACAGAACTTCGACAACTGTGGTTTGATTTCAATTTGTAGCTGTCTTGAAATAATGTCTGTTTTGCATGTGCCATACCGTACCGTATTTACTTGCATAAGCGCTGCGGCGCATATTTAATTTTTTTGCGCCTGTGAAGGCGGCGCATTATCATAATTTGGATGTGTCAAAGAAAGTTTTCTTTTCCAATTAAGGGTGTATTTTCTATTCTTGCCAAAATTTTATAGTATCAAACAGAGCCGTTTTTCGATTGTTCCCATTCGTCCCTTCCAAAATTTTCGGTCGCATGTAGAGTGGTCAAGGGCTTATGTTTACTTGTAGTGGTGTCTTCACTCAACTTTGATCTCACTGACCCTTTAAACTTTATCTGAGTCTTCGGGTTTCAGCAAGGGAGGTTATGTTTCTTTTACGTCTGGATCTGTGCACTCGAAAGGATTGCATTTAGCTGCCTGACAATATCCAATTGCGTAAGATATATAAGTGTGTATGGGAGGGCGCTAATTAACTTTTCTGTTTTGAATGTGGCATATGCTCGTCATTGGTAAATACTGTTAAAAATTTTCTCACGACAGGACTGGGCGGGACTTGACTCAAATCTTCGTAAAAGTTGCTCCATCAAACTGCAATCGTTGCAGAAAATTACAGAAATGCAAGAGTTCCTTGAATTCTTTGTAGAAGAAGGTAAGTCATAAAATAATTATGGTGACGTCAGTAGCTTCTCCAATGAAGCTTAACTTAAGGAAGACGTATTAAATTTAATTAATTAATTTATTAAATTTGAGAGAGAGGGAGAGAGAGAGAGGGGAGAGAGAGAGAGAGAGAGAGAGAGAGAGAGAGAGAGAGAGAGAGAGAGATTGATGGGCACTTTGGTAACCTAAAATAGGGCACTTTGGTACCTTCAGGGCACTTTCGTAACGTGGTGTAGGGCACTTTAGTAACTTTCGGGCCTTTTGGTAACGTGGTGTAGGGCACTTTAGTAACTTTCGGGCCTTTTGGTAACGTGGTGTAGGGCACTTCGGTAACTTTAGGGCAATTTAGTAACGTGAAATATGGCACTTCTGTAACGTGATTATTATCAGACGAAATCTAAATTTTTCGACGTTACACAGGTTGTTTTGGTTTTCAAAATAGTAGATTGCCGTATGAAATTTTACAGCTGGACAAAGACATTCCATTTTCAACTAATTTAACTAAAAATTGCTGCAGAATATAGGAAAGATATCTGTTTACAAGCAAGCCTTTTGTTATTTTAATGTACCAGCCACGAAAGCAAAAGAACCTCGTTTCAAGAGCTAACAAGCATCTGGTTAGCACGTTAACATCAATAGGTGACATCAGGGATACCTCTCTATTAATGTTAGCAGTGGGATGCAACCACAAAACAGTTCTGACTCAATTCTTGTTTTGTGATATGTCACAGAAAAATGCGACTTTTTAATCCGAGTCTCATTCAAACGAAGGAGCGCCGGAAGCTCAATGGTCGCCAGCGTTTTATCTATGGCAAAGACAATTTCCAGACCGATCCCAAGCCGGTTATGGAACCAGTTTAAATTCTTATTTAATTGTACGCATTTTTGTCCTATAATTAGACGGGTTCCGAAAAAAATATCACAGTTGTACCATCGCACCCCTCTTCACGGACGCCCCCTCGTTATAAGGGACAGGTTTTGTTGTCCCGGGGAAATGTCCTCATATTATCTTTACATTTAACCCGCGTACTATGGACACCTTTAACACGGACAGAGGATACCTTTATTCTTCTTCGGTGAACTGATTCTCATAAGCTTACTTCGTCAACATGGGCTCACCTCTGCTGTGCACTGTAATATCCTTTATTTTTGTTTTAATGTAGGTAACATTACGTCCGTGTTTACAACACTGACGAAAAATCATTCTTTAAAATATCTTCTGTTCTTTGAAAGGCTCTTGAACAAATCCTTCCGTTCCTTGACTAAGTAACCTTCACAAGAAAATGAAAAGAGACTTTTTGAACATTTAAAGTGCAAATGTTAACCTTAACTAGCTAAAAGGCTCTTGAACAATTCGTCCCATTCCTGGACTACTTAGCCATAACAAGAAAACGAAAAGCGACACTGACCAAATTTAACTTGAAAACGTCAACCTTAACCTTAAGCACCTAAAAAACTATTCATTAAAATATACTATGCCAATTGAAGGGTTTTTTCAACAATTCTTTTTGTTTCTGGACTACCTATTAACTTAAACATGATTCCAGTTTCTGTTCCAGTTTCTACCCCTCCGGCCTCATTCTATATTTTTCGCGCTTGCTTTCCTTTTTGCTCCTTCCTGCTATAATGACTTATTTAAGGGGTGAAACTGCCCAGATTGGGCTGTTTTAGGAATTTTATTCTGATACTTACCCACGAGTTTCTAGGCTCCACCTCTTTCATAGAGTTCACATGGAGTTCTTCTTCCCCGGGAATGGAGCACTGCCCAAAAGCCGGCCAGTAAGTAGGCCGGTTGTAGTATTGTTGACAATACCATGCAAATACGTTATAAATATATATAGGCAGCTGAATGACATTTCGACAGCAGATAAATACCAGACAACATTAATCAGCATACTTTTGAGGAAACTGCCGTCTTGTACCAATCCGTTGGCTTTTCACACAGTATTGAACTCAATTTGTGCTGCTTTTCAGTCCGATCGGAAAATAGCGGTTGCAAATCAAGCGTAACCTCTTATTCTTGAATTCCCCGCACCCAAAAAAACTGACAACCAGAAATGCGGTGCGGGATAAGCAGACAATTCTTAGCCCATTTATTGAACTAACCAACTAATCACAAGACAAAAACAACTGTTTACACTGTTTAGACACCAAAAAATTAAACAAACTCTATACGTTCGACGCGGCCAAAGTAAATTGAATAAACAAAACCACTTATAATGACTGTCAATCATCAGGAAAGCACAACTAAAAATCGTTACGAAGAAATGGATTACAGGATTCCAACCAAAAAATAAAAAAGAACAAAATTTAACTGTCCGCTTGTAAAAATCCACAATGAAACTTGTTTACTGTTCAGCGAATATATACTTGCTAGTTTACATATCACACTTCTTTCCCATAATCTCACGCCGGCACTTAAAACACACTGCCGACAAATGCACTCGTGCTCGGGAATTCAAGAAACCATTTATCTTTTGTTTCATTACGCTTCGCTACATTCAGGCAAAGATAAATGAACAATTACGCATTTTAGTACAACTGATAGACTGACCGTCATGTCAACCACCCCCACCCACCCCACTTGGGCATACCCCTATGAAGACTGTCATCAAATAAAAGAACAATGATTCACATGAGTTAAACGGGTTTTTTTTATAGAAACACAAATAACATGAATTGTTTTATTCGTTGGAAAGCCACCAACAGAGTTATCAACAGTTTATGTGGCATACGTTGATCGTTACAAAAGTGCCCTAATTCTCGTTGCAAATATCCATCACTCCTTCTCGCCAACGGAAAAAACATTTGGTAACGCAAGTGCTGTGAAATAAAAGCTTTTTTTTCAATAAATAACTCAGACACAACGTTTATTCAAGGGCTTTAGGTAATCATGAATTTGTTATCATTCAAAATTAGTACAATAGGGCACTTATGTCAGCCGGCAAAGTCTCTTCCCTTCAAACTTCCAAAATATCCCCGAAAAAAAAATTTTCTTTAAGTTTTTTTGTGTGCCACAATTAGGAAAAAAAAATGTTGTTTTCATATAAACCGTTTTAAACCTCAATCGTTACAAGTTAGGTGAGAATTTGACTTTAGAGCAGCAAAGTTAAGTTTTAAAATGTTGAAAGGTTTCGAAGGGAGCTCTTGTCTATGACAAAACATACAATCTTACTAAATTTTTTTGGGCTGTGAATTGCTCCCAAAATATTTAGTTGTGGAAAGTGAGTGAATGCCCAAAATATGCTAAACGAGTCGGATATCTATCTTATCATTGAAAATTTGAGTTGAAATGCAATTAAAAAGTACTTTCCACGGAGTAGGGAAGTTTCGTAACCTTTGAAATGTTTAAAAATTTGTAAAAAATTGTTTTTGATACGGTTGACCGCAAGATTCTAACAGAGTGTTGTAGATTCTGCATAAAAGCGTTTGAACTACTCAGGACGATGTAATCATGTTATTTACGCAAGATATCCGAAAGAGACTTGAAGTTACCAAAAATGCCCTATTTTCAATCTGCAGAGAGAGAGAGAGAGAGAGAGAGAGAGAGAGAGAGAGAGAGAGAAGAGCAACTTTAAGATTCAAAGGTTTTCTTACTTCAGAACTGGGCCAACAAAAAGATTTAACTCCTCTCACTATTTGTTAATCAATTGCCCCCCTTTTCACTGCGACAACAAAGTCTCACCAACCTCTGCAATCCTTGTATGCAACAGCGTTTTCAAGGTGTGAACTGCTGAGGTAACCGGATATGTATCACTTTGAAAGCTTGAAAATTTGAATTGTTTAAAGGAGACTGTTCTGTAGAAACCATATCATTTTCATATGAGCCATTGAAAGGTATATAACACAATTAACTACCCACCGCGGTTTTGAGATTCCGCACCTCGTCTTCAAGTGTGCAAAAAATTCAACAATGGCTGCCGTCACTTTGTGACCACACACGCAAAACCGTAAAAGGTGAATTACAACAACTGTCGGTGGAGTTACTGTATAAAATCATTATTTTAGTCAAAAATGCCTTGATTAACTCCTAATAATTCAAACAGATCGCAGATATAAGCAAAATAGGAGTGAGATTTTGGTACGTCAGATATGACCGGCTAATTTGGTAACAAACAATCAGTTTCAAATAAGCAGCATGCGTAGTCTAATTATTTTTGTTATTTGAAGACAATTTTGGGAAGGTGAGGTTATCTTCTAATGTTTTTAAAACGCAGTGCAATTCATTCTTGTATACGTACATGTTGATTGCGGAAATGGAAATTACATGGTTTCTACCTACTTTCAGAGAATTTTTCAAGTGCTATGCCGGTGTTGTCATTGCTGAATAAGTGGTCTTCGAGGTTGCCTCATCCAAGACTCCATCCAATCGGTGTCTGGGAAGATGTTGTTACGAACAGGTGAATGGCTCCTTTGAATTTCTAATTTTCGATCTAAATAGGCTGTAGAATGCAAAGGACCACCAATCAAAACGTTTCTGTGGTACCCGATAACATATTTTTACATTAAAGGATCTATGTGGCGAAAAGGCGGATCACTAATAGTTCAGTTTTTCCTTATCAAAGTCTTCTTTCCTTGTGCTTTCAGAGTTCTATTCATGTACAAATTCTTGCAGAAATTTGAGGCAGTAGGAGCGGAAGAAAGGTAATCAAAATTGACATTGGTAGTCATTGTTCATAAGTTGTTTATATTTTCCGTTCCAATTCGAATGGCATGGCTTCTCCTTTGTTTTGTGTTTTATTTTTATTTATATTTTTTTTATGTCCTGTTTGTTTGAGCGTGTGTGCCTGTTCGCGGGTATTTCATTCATCTATTTATTTGATGATATTTTCCCCTATCCACTAGGTATTTTTCGTAAAATCAGATACACCAATGTAGCCTTCAAATCCGTACTCTAACTTTTTCCTTGCGTATTGAACATTGCGGTTAACTGGTTTCTCCCTTTTTTTCAATCTGTTAAAACACATTTGTTGTTTTGTTTTGTCCTAGGTCTGGAATTTGTTTAGATGATATAAAAGACAAATTTTTACAGCAAGAAGTCGAGCTAAAGCTGCGCATGGCAAACGCTGCTAAAGAGCAGGTATACAATAAAGGGTTTGATGATACACAGTTTACAAATTGTTGTCGTCATTGCTCTTCAAACAATAGATAGGAAGTAAGCGAGGTTTTTCAATCGCAGACTTGAGCCGAGAGATACTCAGCGACAGCAACGAACGGCTTCGGGTCGCTGTGACTCATTTTACTGCTGCGATTATCACACAAATGCAAACCAGCTTAGATTTACGCGGCTTGTTGAAGTGAAAAATTATGTTGCATGGACAACGATTTTGGTAAAAATTTTGTCTGATTTCCAAGTGCCGTTGTAGGCTATGATACCAGGAAGGTCAATTCAACTCCTTTCAACAAATGTTTGCACTATTTTTGCAGGGAAATTATACAGTGGCACACAGATGTCTCAAGGAGGCACTCAACAAGATTCCTCAGGTATTTCATACTGATGGAAGAACTCAAGATATTTTTTAAATCGAATATCATACGTCCACTTTTTCACATGATATCATATGTTTGTATACTACAGTGCGGAAAACGCACCGCTGCGTTTTAATATTCAGAATTGGCATTCTTGCATATATAAACTGCATCTCGGTAATACAGGCCTTCAATTTTTACTTGTATTTTCTTTCAGGGAAATGAAAACCTAAACTTCAGTTGGTCCCACACTTATGCTGAAGTAAATCTCAGAAAAATACAAACACTGACAGCCGTTGGGGCTGTGGAAACTGCTCTGTTAGTTGTGGGACAATTAGGTAAAATTCTTGCTTGAAACTTGTAAAGTTACTAAGTTTCTATGCAGCCTTAGTCAGGAGGAGACATTCATTCACATATCATTTTGATATTTTATAGACAAATTCAGTGCCAGTGAAATATTAGAAAGTGAACCATTGAGGGGAATTCAGCATCACATCCTTAGGAGCAAGACATTTGATATCTTGTGCAAAGCAATGTTAGATGGTACCTTGACACTTTATATTAGTTTATGTAACTTTTTTTCTTAACTGAAGGGCCTGAGAAGCTAAATTGGATCTACTTAAAACAAAAAAAACCAAAAATTGGCTGTGTACAATAAAATCGAAAATGAAATATATGCAAATAACCTAAATTATCTGGTATCACAGCGGCACATTTCTTTTGGTAAATAATATGACGATACAATGGCCGGTTCGTGTGTAACAAGGCAGATTCAGTAAGTGCTTGTTAGGCCCGATATGGATAACAATTTTTTCGCCATGAAGCCTTAAATTTCTTTTGAACATGTCTGCTGACTATTCTTCTTCGTAATGTTTTCTATTTGTTGAGGGGGAGTAGTAATAGCTTCCTTGGAGAGTCAAGCGAAGAATGCCATGGTAAAACTTTGTAGAATTGACGAAACTGACTCACAAAAAAAGGTAACTGATCAACCTTGCACCCGATGACATTTCTTTAATCTGTAAATTCAAAACAATTTCGGAGCTACACGTACTCACCTAAGTAATTTATTTCTCTTGACAGGTCGTAAGTGATGTGATGAAACTATCCTTTCTAACGCTTCAGTCTGCCATCAAGGCTGCAAAAAATGCTGAAGGGAAATGCAAAATGGCTCAAACGAGGTTTGTTGGTTTTCTTGATGCTGAGTGCCTTTTCAGTTCCCTAGAGAACATATTCTCAGTTTTTAAGTAATTTATTGTCAGTGCTATTGGTGTTCGTTTGGCACAAAGAAGATGAAGCGGACGAGGCAAGTTGTACAGCCTCTATACAGTTAGAAAACATAACTGTGTAAGTTTTGTTATTCCAAATTTAAGTGAGGGATGATTACGCTACAGGGATTTTGTCACCCACCCTATTGATTGTTTACACTTATTTACTTACAACTTATTTTGTCAGCTCCAGGCTTCGGTAAGGTTTGTGGAGCCATGCCAAGCCCCACTCGTCTTCGAGGCGGTTTGTGTCCCTGAAGGACTTCTTTGCAGGAATTGGTAAAGGAGCCACCTAGGATTGGAGGCGAAGAAGTGCGCTACTAGAGTGATGTTGTCAGGGTTTCTGTTTTAGAGGTCACGAGGAAAACAATGCTCGTTTTGCACTTTAGGGAACTTCATGGCGTTTTACGAGTTTCTTGAGAAACCTTCGCATTATTTCAGAACCCATCCAGTAGAGACAGTGTAGAAAGAAGAAACGCCTGGGTTCACAAACATAGTTATCTTTAAACAACTGTAACCTTATACGTTGTGTTATCTCCATTTCTTGTAGTGGTACTGTGGACGCCATGATGGCAATGGTCAATTTCTGTGATAATTGCCTCAGGAAAAAAGAAGGTAAATGTTGCTTTTCCTTCATGAGGAACCTCCCTGTATGACAACATCCACTTTTTAAAGACAAAAAAAGACTAAGGACTATCTATGACCTCAAAGTGGGCTTTAATTTGGTAACGATGTCCCCTACAGGCCAGGTATGACGAAATTAAAACCACTTCCTGAATAGCTGTACATGTTTTTCGGCGTACTTGTAAATCATAGTCTTTTTCCAAGTTCTCTCTCACGAGAGGTTTCGTTTCATCCTTTCTGGTGAGTGAGCCCAAAATTCTCTTAATGAGACATTTCACAAGTTTTTGTCAAAACCAGTATATATGTTGTTCCTGTCACTTTACAGATACTGATGCACAAGTAGAAGTCGACACAAAGGTAACATTGAATAGCACCTAAGCAAAGTTTATTTGAGTCATATCAGTTATTGCCGCATATTAATGTTGGTTCTAATCCTTTAATTTATCTTTAGCTCTTTCCTGGTATTGTTGCACGTTATATGCTAAAATCCATGTGCTACAGTTCGGAAGAAGCCCGTCAAAAGTTTCCAAGACTTCTCCAGATAGTTCATAAGTACCCTGACACGCTAGAAGCCTTCGTGAAAAAAGTAAGCTGCAGGTTTCAATTCATTTGCTTAGTCACAGACATAGGAAACGGGAAAGAAATGACAGGAATTTTTTTTTCCTCAAGCAAAATTGAGGAAATGAAAAATATATACCTTTTATTGCTTTATCAAAAAGAGACACTTTATATATATATATACGTAGATAAGCTTATATATATATAATATATGGATGGATGGATGGATGGAAAAACTTCTCCTCTGTAATCGAGTAGTAAAAAAATATTTCTGACAAGCATCTAAGCATCTACAAACCTTCACCCTATTCGACATCGAAATCTTCTACCCTTCCATATCTTCAGAGCTACTAACCAATGCTATCCACTTCGCTAAGAAACACACCAAGATCACCAACCAAGACACCGATATTATCATGTACTCCAGAAAATCAATTCTGCTCCACAACGGATCACCTTGGGTGAAAAAAGACAACGATGGCAAGTTTGACGGAATAATGGGAAGCTTTGACGGCGCAGAAGTATACGAACTAGTTGGACTTTTTATCTTGAACGAACTCGCAAACAAATACGGAACAAACAACATTGGACTTTACAGGGCGACGGACTCGCCATTTTCAAGAACACAACAGGACCTAAGGCA